ATCCACCGACAATACAGGTATGTTAAATTCTGTATGCGGATTTTTTTTGTATCCGTCATTTCAGTTCATTATTATAGCATTTACGTACCTTGATTAGTGGGGAGTACATAAGGAATTGAAAGAAGTAAAGTGATCTGTTGAAAATCCAGGTTTTGGTTATGAAGTTCTTAAATTGATTCAATTTCTGAATCGTTCGGTTGTTCCTTCTGCGAATTGTTAGGAAATTTCTATTCACTATGTCGATCATATTATATGAAAGAAAATTGCAGGAAGCTTTCTTCGGTATGCGACCTGTTGAAGGACGAAATTTAGTGGAAGCAGTTGTGGATGAACCAACTTTACCGCATGAATTCGATAAGACAACCCTCGGGCAAGAGAAACAAACTGGAGTGTTTGAATTAACCGAGGCTGATTCTGAGGTGGGTGTCGACAGAATCTTTGCAGTTCTTTTTTGAGAGCAGTACTAGCCATGATGAGAACAGATTATTCTCATTCAACAAAATTATGAATCTCTTTCATTAGGTTTGAAATTTTTTGATTCTGAATTCGAAAATTTTCCATATGAATTTCTATGGTAGTTCATAGTCAAGCGAGTGATTTTTAAATTATAATATGAACTTTCAATTTTATTTTCTCCTGTCGAAAGAAGTTTTTTTTGTAATTCTATCACGGAATAAGTATTCCCGATGAGTTGTTCTCTTTGATTGTATTGATGGAATGTAAATTTTATGAAAGAACTGAAATTTTTTTAAAGGCTCTACGCGAAGGTGAAAGTTTGTTGGGCGATATAACCGAGAATGAGATATTCGGTAATATGGAAGAGATAGATTTTGATAATTTCGATATTAACGAATTGTTGATGGAAGGGGACGAGGAGGAAGACGATGACACATTGGATACGGCAACTAATGGTTAATTTTCTCGCCACTTTGGGTTTTTTTCTAAAATTTTTGGGATTCAGTAACTCGGAGAAATCAATTCATTAGCTACATCTATCGTATTTTGCAAAACTTTCCTTTGTTAGCAACGAAAATTTGGAAATAATTTTTCTATTTGCAATAGATGGTGGTACGGTGAGTGAC